CAGAATCAGAACCCTGAGATTCATTCATTCATTCATTAATTAATGTACTTTCTTTGTTTTACTAACTATATACTTAAATTTATGTAAATCTTCCTTTTACAGAAAATGCACACTAACTAAATCGGTTTTTCTTTTGCATCGGTTATTCTGTCATCGCAAATAGTATTTACAGTAGCTTAAAAGTGGACAAACAAAAATGTTAGACACAAAAATCACTTTTTTTGGCAGTTCTCTTGTCGCCAAAGTTCTTCAAATTCCATTATTTTCATCAATTTTAAGGTATTTTGATAATGTATATATAGGACAGAATCCAAATTTCATCATCAGAAAGGCAAAAAAAAAAAAAAAAAATTATTATACCATATACACAAGCATATATATATATATATATATCTATCTAATATGATATATAAATTATTTTTTATTTATTTTATTATTATTTTTTGAGACGGCAGCCTACTCACTGTCTCCAATAGGGGTTTTTGCGAGGCAGTAATGCGTCGCAAAAGATAGGCATTTGGTTGAAAATGATGACTTTTAGCGACGGTGTAATTTGCCGTCGCCAATAGTACTTTAGCGACAGCAACAAGTGCTGTCTCAAATAACTCTTTAGCGACGGTACTTGTGCCGTCGCAAATACCCCTTTTAGCGACGGCAAAACAGTGCCGTCTTCAAAAAAAGTCAGATTTTCACGAGTTAATGGGATGCATTTTTCCGTCGCAAAAATGCTTCTTTGCCGTCGCAAACCAAAGCGACGGCGTCATACCGTCGCTGAAACCCTTTTGCAACCCCCTCTGTTCGACCCCCCACGTGCCGTTGCAAAAAGGCCACTTACTGTCGCAAAAAAACCTTTTGAGACGCGTTTTGGGTATTTGCGACGGCATTTTACCGTCGCAAAAAATCAATTTTTTTTTGTAGTAGTGTATATCTCAGTTCATCGCAAAAAAATCAAAATTTGAATTCTCTCTAAGGTCTCTCTCTCTCTTCAACCACCACAGCACCGTTGTCTCAAACCCACCCCACCCCACCCTACCTCCTTTTTCTCCCTTATCTTCTTTTTCTTTTTCTGATCTTGATTGGTGCTTGTCGTGGTGGTAAGATTCAGAGAGAGAGAGAGAGAGAGAGAGAGAGAGAGAGAGAGAGAGAAGGAGGCTCGTGGCTATGGGGATGGTTGTTGGTGGGTTGTAATTTTAGAGAGAGAAAAGAAGTGGAAGAAAAAGAAGAAGGGAAGGAAAGGTGGATTGCGAGCAGCTATAGCGGGAGGTGGTGGCGTTGTAGGTAAAGAGAGGGCGAGGTCGCCGGCTATGGGTGTCACGGTGGCTGGGCTGCCTGCTACTGTCTTCTATCTTTTTTCCCCCTCTGGTTCTGTTTTGTTTTTTTTTTTTTTAAATTTTGCACCAAAACGATGTCGTTTTGGGGCACTGTAGAAAGCCTGACAAAAAGGACAGCAGAGGATCCATACTCTTAAAATATTGTATTTACTAAATGCAATCGCGTTCTCTGTTTTTAGTTGTTAATAATAACCTAGGTGGTTGTTTATCCAGGCACTATAATAAAATAAAGGAAAAATATTATTGTACCACACCCTTCAAAAGGTGTGACATATGCACCTAATAACTAAAGAAGAAAAATAATATAATTCATATTTTCTGAGTCATAATTAAAAAAAAAAATTTACAAAACTAAACACAATAGGAGGCATAACTAAAATAATACCATAACTAAACAAGAAAATTGACATAACTAGGGATGCATATGGTAAACCTCTTTTAAGGGATGCATAGAATTTCCCTAAATAAAAAATAAATTTCCTTTTGAAAAATTTACTTATAAATCCCATTTTGAAGAATGTTTATAACGACCGAAAAAAAAATAAAAATAAAAAATAAAAATAAATAAATAATAAAATAAAAAAATTAGCAGCCTTCTCTGAAACGCTATGTGAAAATGATGAGTAGATATTATTTACTTGCAAGGTAATTGGAAAGTTTTAGAGGAAGGAATAAAATAGGACCCACCACCTATACTTTAGCTATGCTTTAACAATTGCTCAAATATCATGATGTTGAGTTAGTGGCACCGAAAAGCAGCATGAGGATTGATTTGTTGTAATAGAGTTACAGGTGTATAATGCCGTTATGCACACTTCTCTGACCATCTCCCCCAACACACACACACGGTTAGAGGGAAAACAGCAACACACTCAACACCCACCCAACTTCATCTATATCTCTCTCTACTCTCTCACAGTCACAATTCAACACATAGTGGTAAGGGGAGTGATGGCTAAGATATGCATCATCATCTATGGCGAAGTTGAGCATTCATGAGTTGAGTGTTCCTAATAATAATAACAAGCTTTGCAAGTAGTGTCATCTCCACCACCACTGAGTCCGTTGAAACCCACAAAAAAGTCGACTTTGTTCGTGTTCGGAGACTCGCTATTCGATCCAGGAAACAACCAGTACATCAATGGAAGCAAACCAGGTGCTTCCAGTTATTACCCATATGGACAAACCTTCTTCAATCATCCCACTGGTCGACTCAGCGATGGTCGTATTATCCCTGATTTCATCGCACTGTTTGCAAAGCTGCCTATGTTGACACCATACCTGCAATCTGGGGTTGGATTTGTGTTCTGCCGACGGTGGAGGTATCTCTACTTCAGTCTCGGTTTGGTCATTTTGTGCTATGTTGGAGCTTTGGTTTTATAACAGATTGCTGGACTAAGTGGTGCATTACGGTTTGCTCGAGGTTAATGCTCGGCTGTTGCTAAAATGAGCAAACTCAAGGTGGAGAGATAAAGTTGGTCAGTTTCGATGCCAACGGTTTCTGTGTTGGTGAAAGTTCTGTGTGTTGCTAACAACTTTGGTTCTCCGTGATTCACCTACTGATGCAGCCAGTCCGTGGGCTGTATGTATGGAAGAAGATGGTGTTGTGTACCGCCGGAGTTTTTGTTGACACCGGTGAAATAGCGTCTTTGGTACATAACCTGGGTCTCTCTCACGGGGTGATTGAGGGATGGGCGGACAACAACTGTTTTTCCCCACTTGGCCGTGTTGGTGCCTTGGAGAATGGGTAGGTGCTTTTGTGGGCTTTGGTTGCTTACAATAAGTGGGTGAGGTTTGCTTTTTTGAAAAACGTAAAGAGTGGGCTGTGGGGCCCATTTATTGTTACTTAGTTGGTGCGCCATATTTCGACAAAATGGGCTGCGCCTAGGATATCTCTTTTCTTTAGGGAGACTTACCAGCCGGTTCCATGGAAAAAATAATACCCACAAAGTCTTACCCTATTTTAGTTTCTAATTTACCCCTGAAGTCACACCACACGCGTGAATCAAAAAATATATCACGAGGCCTCCCCTATGCGCGTGAAACACACGCTCCTTCTCAATTGTTCTGATTTGGAACTATTCTGAGGCGATTTGGAAACCATTCTGAGGCGATTTGCGATTTGGAAATCGAAACGAACGAAGAGATTTTCCCTGTATCTCAATCGTTTACAAAGAAATCACCTCTGTTTCGATCAATAATCTGATTCCGAACAGATCCCCAGCAAATCCTTCACCGTTTCGATCTATATTCCTTGTTTGGTTCATCTTCAACAAAACATGCGAATGAAACGTGAGTCGTATTCATCTTCCGTTCGTCTTTTATAACTATAATTAAGTGATATTGAACTTCATAATAATCACATCTTCATTGTTCATTTCCTAACAATAACAGATTGCTTATTTTTTCCCAATTCAGTGAGAAAATTTCTATAAGAATGAATAGATTTGCTTAAACTTTCTTAATTGAGTCATAAAATTTGTTATAATGATGGATTTGCTTCCCTTCTTCGTTCATAACTATAATTGAGTTATAAAATTCGCTATACAATGATGGATTTGCTTACTTTTGCTAATTCAGTGATAAAATTTGATATACAATAACAGATTTTGATTACTTTGCCCAATCTGTGAGAAAAAATTGCTATAAGAAATGGTAGGTTTGCTTAATTTTCCTAATTGAGTGATAAAATTTTTATAATGATGGATTTGTTTCTCTTCTTATTTCATAACTATGGATTTGCTTCCCTTCTTCTTTCATAACTATAATTGAGTAATAAAATTGACTTAAAGCTATTTTCAATGTGTATCATACAGTACTAATTTATGAGGGATATTCAACTTCATTATAATCACATCTTCATGTTCATTTTGCTATACAATGATGAATTGCTTACTTTTGCCTAAGTCAGTGATAAAATTTCTATACAATGCCAGATTTGCTTAATTTGCCGAAATCAGTGAGAAAATTTGCTATAAGAATGATATATTTGCTTAATTTTCCTAATTGAGTGATAAAATTTGTTATAACGATGGATTGCTTCCCTTCTTCTTTCATAACTATAATTGAGTGATAAAATTCGACTTGAAGCTATTTTGAATCTGTACCATACAGTATTAATTTATGATGATATTCAACATCATAACAATCACACCTTTATGTTCATTTTCTATTCAATGATGCATTTTCTTACTTTGCTAATTCAGTGATAAAATTTGCTATACAATTGTTTTCATCTCATCTCTCTCTATTTAGACAATGTATTAAGATTCCTAAGAAAAATAGCTTGGAAAAGAAGCTCTGTTGTGCTGTAAAAAATAAGGATAGACAATGATAGATGGTTATATACATTGCCTGTAGTGCATGCGGCCCTGTTCTTGCTTCTATAATATTTTTGGGACAAGTTTTTTTACTAATATAAATTGTTCTTTAGAATACTCATGCTTGACTGATTTACATCACAAGATTGAGTGCTCAATTGGTCACATGCATATATATCTATCTAATATGATATATAAATTATTTTTTATTTTATTTTATTATTATTTTTTTGAGACGGCAGCCTACTCACCGTCTCAAATAGGGGTTTTTTGCGACGGCAGTAATGCTGTCGCAAAAGATAGGGCATTTGGTTGAAAATGATGACTTTTAGCGACGGTGTAATTTGCCGTCGCCAATAGTACTTTAGCGACAGCAACAAGTGCTGTCTCAAATAACTCTTTAGCGACGGTACTTGTGCCGTCGCAAATACCCCTTTTAGCGACGGCAAAACAGTGCCGTCTCAAAAAAAGTCAGATTTTCACGAGTTAATGGCGATGGCATTTTTCCGTCGCAAAAATGCTTCTTTGCCGTCGCAAACCAAAGGCGACGGCGTCATACCGTCGCTGAAACCCTTTTGCAACCCCCTCTGTTGCGACCCCCCACGTGCCGTTGCAAAAGGCCACTTACTGTCGCAAAAAACCTTTTGAGACGACGTTTTGGGTATTTGCGACGGCATTTTACCGTCGCAAAAAATCAATTTTTTTTGTAGTGATGTATATCTCAGTTCATCGCAAAAAAATCAAAATCTTGAATTCTCTCTAAGGTCTCTCTCTCTCTTCAACCACCACCAGGCACGTTGTCTCAAACCCACCCCACCCCACCCACCTCCTTTTTCTCCCTTATCTTCTTTTTCTTTTTCTGATTCTTGATGGTGGCTTGTCGTTGGTGGTAAGATTCAGAGAGAGAGAGAGAGAGAGAGAGAGAGAGAGAGAGAGAAGGAGGCTCGTGGCTATGGGGATGGTTGTTGGTGGGTTGGTAATTTTAGAGAGAGAAAAGAAGTGGAAGAAAAAGAAGAAGGGGAAGGAAAGGTGGATTGCGGCAGCTATAGCGGGGAGGTGGTGGCGTTGTAGGTAAAGAGAGGGCGGAGGTCGCCGGCTATGGGTGTCACGGTGGCGTGGGCTGCCTGCTACTGTCTTCTATCTTTTTTCCCCCTCTGGTTCTGTTTTGTTTTTTTTTTTTTTAAATTTTGCACCAAAACGATGTCGTTTTGGGGCACTGTAGAAAGCCTGACAAGAAAGGACAGCAGAGGATCCATACTCTTAAAATATTTGTATTTACTAAATGCAATCGCGTTCTCTGTTTTTAGTTGTAATAATAACCTAGGTGGTTGTTTATCCAGGCACTATAATAAAATAAAGGAAAATATTATGGTACACACCCTTCAAAAGGTGTGTACATATGCACCTAATAACTAAAGAAGAAAATAATATAATTTCATATTTTCTGAGTCATAATTAAAAAAAAAATTTATCAAAACTAAACACAATAGGAGGCATAACTAAAATAATACCATAACTAAACAAGAAAATTGACATAACTAGGGATGCATATGGTAAACCTCTTTTAAGGGATGCATAGAATTTCCCTAAATAAAAATAAATTTCCTTTTGAAAAATTTACTTATAAATCCCATTTTGAAGAATGTTTATAACGACCGAAAAAAAATAAAAATAAAAAATAAAAATAAATAAATAATAAAATAAAAAAATTAGCAGGCCTTCTCTGAAACGCTATGTGAAAATGATGAGTAGATATTATTTACTTGCAAGGTAATTGGAAAGTTTTTAGAGGAAGGAATAAAATAGGACCCACCACCTATACTTTAGCTATGCTTTAACAATTGCTCAATATCATGATGTTGAGTTAGTGGCACCGAAAAGCAGCATGAGGATTGATTTGTTGTAATAGAGTTACAGGTGTATAATGCCGTTATGCACACTTCTCTGACCATCTCCCCCAACACACACACACGGTTAGAGGGAAAACAGCAACACACTCAACACCCACCCAACTTCATCTATATCTCTCTCTACTCTCTCACAGTCACAATTTCAACACATAGTGGTAAGGGGAGTGATGGCTAAGATAGCATCATCATCTATGGCGAAGTTGAGCATTCATGAGTTGAGTGTCCTAATAATAATAACAAGCTTTGCAAGTAGTGTCATCTCCACCACCACTGAGTCCGTGAAACCCACAAAGAAGTCGACTTTGTTCGTGTTCGGAGACTCGCTATTCGATCCAGGAAACAACCAGTACATCAATGGAAGCAAACCAGGTGCTTCCAGTTATTACCCATATGGACAAACCTTCTTCAATCATCCCACTGGTCGACTCAGCGATGGTCGTATTATCCCTGATTTCATCGCACTGTTTGCAAAGCTGCCTATGTTGACACCATACCTGCAATCTGGTGGTTGGATTTGTGTTCTGCCGACGGTGGAGGTATCTCTACTTCAGTCTCGGTTTGGTCATTTTGTGCTATGTTGGAGCTTTGGTTTATAACAGATTGCTGGACTAAGTTGGTGCATTACGGTTTGCTCGAGGTTAATGCTCGGCTGTTGCTAAAATGAGCAAACTCAAGGTGGAGAGATAAAGTTGGTCAGTTTCGATGCCAACGTTTCTGTGTTGGTGAAGTTCTGGTGTTGTTGCTAACAACTTTGGGTTCTCCGTGATTCACCTACTGATGCAGCCAGTCCGTGGGCTGTATGTATGGAAGAAGATGGTGGTTGTGTACCGCCGGAGTTTTTGTTGACACCGGTGAAATAGCGTCTTTGGTACATAACCTGGGGTCTCTCTCACGGGGTGATTGAGGGGATGGGCGGACAACAACTGTGTTTTCCCCACTTGGGCCGTGTTGGTGCCTTGGAGAATGGGTAGGTGCTTTTGGTGGGCTTTGGTTGCTTACAATAAGTGGGTTGAGGTTTGCTTTTGTTGAAAAACGTAAAGAGTGGGCTGTGGGGCCCATTTATTGTTACTTAGTTGGTGCGCCATATTTCGACAAAATGGGCTGCGCCTAGGATATCTCTTTATCTTTAGGGAGACTTACCAGCCGGTTCCATGGAAACAAATTAATACCCACAAAGTCTTACCCTATTTTAGTTTCTAATTTTACCCCTGAAGTCACACCACACGCGTGAATCAAAAAATATATCACGAGGCCTCCCCTATGCGCGTGAAACACACGCTCCTTCTCAATTGTTCTGATTTGGAAACTATTCTGAGGCGATTTGGAAACCATTCTGAGGCGATTTGCGATTTGGAAATCGAAACGAACGAAGAGATTTTCCCTGTATCTCAAATCGTTTACAAAGAAATCACCTCTGTTTCGATCAATAATCTGATTCCGAACAGATCCCCAGCAAATCCTTCACCGTTTCGATCTATATTCCTTGTTTGGTTCATCTTCAACAAACATGCGAATGAAACGTGAGTCGTATTCATCTTCCGTTCGTCTTTTATAACTATAATTAAGTGATATTGAACTTCATAATAATCACATCTTCATGTTCATTTCCTATACAATAACAGATTTGCTTATTTTTCCCAATTCAGTGAGAAAATTTTCTATAAGAATGATAGATTTGCTTAACTTTCTTAATTGAGTCATAAAATTTGTTATAATGATGGATTTGCTTCCCTTCTTCGTTCATAACTATAATTGAGTTATAAAATTCGCTATACAATGATGGATTTGCTTACTTTTGCTAATTCAGTGATAAAATTTGATATACAATAACAGATTTGATTACTTTGCCCAATTCTGTGAGAAAAATTGCTATAAGAATGGTAGGTTTGCTTAATTTTCCTAATTGAGTGATAAAATTTGTTATAATGATGGATTTGTTTCTCTTCTTATTTCATAACTATGGATTTGCTTCCCTTCTTCTTTCATAACTATAATTGAGTAATAAAATTTGACTTAAAGCTATTTTCAATGTGTATCATACAGTACTAATTTATGAGGGATATTCAACTTCATTATAATCACATCTTCATGTTCATTTGCTATACAATGATGAATTTGCTTACTTTTGCTAAGTCAGTGATAAAATTTGCTATACAATGCCAGATTTGCTTAATTTGCCGAAATCAGTGAGAAAATTTGCTATAAGAATGATATATTTGCTTAATTTTCCTAATTGAGTGATAAAATTTGTTATAACGATGGATTTGCTTCCCTTCTTCTTTCATAACTATAATTGAGTGATAAAATTCGACTTGAAGCTATTTTGAATCTGTACCATACAGTATTAATTTATGAGTGATATTCAACATCATAACAATCACACCTTTATGTTCATTTTCTATTCAATGATGCATTTTCTTACTTTTGCTAATTCAGTGATAAAATTTGCTATACAATTGTTTTCATCTTCATCATGATACTTCATGTTCTTTTGCAATTTGGAATCTAAACTTTGCTATACACTTATATATTTGCTTAATTTGCATAATAGATTAATAAATTCTTCTTAGTTTGCCTAGTTTAGTGATAAAATTCTTCTTAATTTTCAATGTTCATACTCAATGTTTTTGTATAGATGTTGCTAGTCATCATAAAAGATTACGTCGTTGAGAAACAAGTTTCTCAAAGAAGAAAAAGATTGAAAAAGTTGAGTTTGTTATAGAGCCAACAACACATGAAAGTGAAAATCAACTACAAGTTAAACCTGAATCTAACATTGACAATGAGGAGCCCAAACAGGAACAACTGAAACAACTTACAGAGCTCCACAAACCGAGAGGGAAGAAAAAAATTGATGGAAGAAAAACTAGGACTGAACAGATACATGATAATGAAGCAAAATATGTCTACCGTTCCAACATTCAATCTCTTATCAAATTTTTCAAGACAACAAAACTCAGAGAGGAGCATTTCACAGTATTGAGAAAGACACCTTTTTCACTTCTGGTTGATACATTGAGTGAAAACAAGGTTAAAAGAAGAGATTCAATTAAATATGATGATGTGGTTGCAAAAATTTTACAAACTTACCAAATTGATGGAACCACATTTGAAATTGCTGGGAAGAAGCTGAAGTTGAAAAGAAATGACTTCAAATTAATTTTTGGGATTACATGTGGACAAAAGAAGATGTATCTTGCATACGGAAGAAAAAATAAGGTAGCTATGATGCAAAAAAGAAAAATAACCGAGAGCAGAATGACAAGCGCTTCAATCCAAAAGTTGATAATGAAACTTTTGAGAAGTAACAACAATGAAGATGTAGAAGATGTCGTTAGGTTTGTGTGCCTTTTGGTTTGTTTACTTTTGTTGTATCTGGGTACTGGGACAACAACTGGTTGGCGGTTCATGAAATACCTCGAGAATATTGACGAAATGAAGTCTTATGATTGGTGTGGCGCAGCAAAAGAACATCTTACAAGATCAATAGCAACGCAACATCAACCAAATTGATAGAGTGTGCGGATGTGTGATCATCTTATTGGTAAGTAAATACCTCACTTACAACTTATAAACTATAATATTTACGTTTACTAAATACTAATTTATAACATTTTTTTGTCCTCAACAGTATTGGATATGTGAGCGTGCAAAGATCATCAAACCAAATGACAAGAACCCAATCCCAAGATTTGCAAGATGGAACATTACACATCTGGGACAACAATTGGCAAAGTCATCCTTACATGATCTGAAACATATCGAGGTATCCGTTGATATCCTTTGTTTTGTTTAAACAAATATTAGATTTGTTATGCAGTGATAAATTTTAGGAAGACTGATAAATTCTTTTTAATCTTCTTGGTGTCTCATTTGTGGTAGAAACATTATTTAGGTATTTCATCTGTGCTAGAAATTATTCAATAAACAAGTTTTATCAGTGTATAACCTTTATTTCTTTAATTGAGTGATGAATTTTGCTATGCAGCGATAAATTTTTATATGGACTGATAACTTTTTGCTCACAGTTATAAATTTTCTTACTAAGCTTCATTGAGTGATAAATTTTGCTTAATGTTGCTAATTCACTGATAAAACTTGTTATCATGAAGCAAATCACTAGTCTTATTATACATTTGAATCACCGAATGATAAATTATTACTTAACTTTGCGTCATATCATTCTTTTTAATCATTTTCATTCATGTAGGAGAGCAATTTGAAAGACACAATTGAAGAATAGAACATATACAAACAATTGTAACCACAAACAGATGATGAGCATGAAGATGAAGAATGTAACTTTGAGGAACAAGAGGAGACTGAATTATCTGAAAAGGAAGAATAACCAATTATCACAAAGATATTCAGTCTCAGTCCAGGAAGAAATTCACCGAATCCCAAGCATCAAACAGGTGCTCGAGAAAAGAGGAAATCAACAACATTGCAATAAAAAAAGAATGCAAGAAGGAAAGCCAACTTTCAGCACGAAACTGAAGAAGGTCCAGTTCATGTGCAAAGAAATGAGCTTTCTATTGACAACCTAGAAAATGATGAAGAAGAAACAATGATCAAACAGAAAGTTGGTCCAGCAACTTCCCCGGGATTCAAGCATCAAACACCGACTGAAAAGAGGAAAGCAAAAAGGAAACTTGCCTATGAAACAAATATCTACCATGTGAAAATTAATGAACATACATTTCAGAAACTAGAAGAGAATGTCCTGATAATCCAAAGGCTAGAAATGGAGAAGGCAAGAATCCAAGCAGAAAATGATGAGCTTAAGGACCAACTCATAAAGCTTAGTAAACAAATGGAAGAACAAAGCAAGAAAGCAAAGATACAAATGGAAGTGAAAGATATGGAAATGGTGCTACTTAATGAGAGAATTGCAATGTTGGTTGAATCAAATCTCTACCTGGACAGTGAAGAAGAACAAATCGCAGTTGAAGTTGAAGCCACCACTCCCAAAACATCGCCTCTTGTGAGCTCAATGATAAAAAGGGTGAAAAATAGAGAAACAAGAAAAGAGCACAAAGATCCAGATTTTTGGTACATGACGAAAAGACAACCAAAGCAGAACAAGACAGTTGATGAAGTAGAACCAATGGTTGAAGAAAGTGCAAAGACCAGAAAAGAAGAGCCGACACAACATCAACATCCAACAAAACAAATTGACACTTCCTATCCAGTGTTTCACAAATTGCCAAAGAAATCAAGGATGAAACTCACTAGTCTTTGGGCAACAAAAACCAGCAGGTAAGAACATGATTTGGTCCTAAAATTTCCAAATTTGGAATCTAAATTTTAGTATATGGTCATACATTTATCAATGTATAACCTTTGTTTAATTCATTCATTGATAAATTTTGTTATACAGTGATAAAATCTACTACATAGTGATAAATTTTACTTAATTTGTTTGGTGGAGTGATATATTTTGCTAATTTTCATGGTGTCTCATCTATGGTATCAAATTATTTAGGCATTTTAGTTTATGTTCTCTACTTCATTCCATTGTTCGGATTTGATACATCAAGTAAAATTTGATGCTCAATTTGTTCCCGTAACCTTTGTTTCGTTAATTGACCAACAAATTTTGGTATACAGTGATAAATTTTGTTTTCACATTTGCAGTTATCCAATCTTACAAGGAAAGGAAGTAGGCAGCTATTTGTACTTGGATGATATTGACAAAATAGTCAAATGCGAAGAACTTTCTGGAAATGTAAAATCAAATCCCTATTTGTGTATATATCAATTGTAATACCAAATAATAATTCTCTCATTAACCTTGTTTGCTTTTGTTTTTACAACAGGCAATAAATGAATACAAGGAAATCTTAATGATAGAAGAGCAACCGAAACCAAAGTTCAGCCTCAGCTCACAAGCAGGAACAACATATATATTTACTACATCATGCCATGTAAGTAAATTACACACACATATATATATATATATATATTTCATTACGATATTATCCATTCCCCTTGTCTAAATCAAATGCATAAGTTCTCATTCATCCAGTCTTATAGTGATAAAATTACCATTAACGAATAACATTATAACTAAAACCAATATATTTGCAAAACACAGTATTTGTTCACCACAAAGGATGAGGCAGAAACAAATCAATTGTTGAACAACATGATGTTAGAAGCTTTCAAGGAAAGATATCTTATTTTCCCAATTTTCAATGAAAAGCATTGGACATTGTTGGTACTTGATACTGAAAATGGCTCATGGAAGTTTTACAATTCAATGAGACCAAGCACAGAAACAGATAACCACTTAAATGAGGCAAACAAAGTGGTAAAACACCAATTAATTATGATATCATCCATTCCCCTTGTTTATATAAAATTTTATTATGCATTTATTTGTCAAACACCAATTAATTATTAATATATTTTGCAGAGAAAGGTTATTGAAAAATACCTTCAACATCACAATCCCAAACTCATTGAAGGTAACAAGTTTCATGAAGAAACAGAAATTGCAATGAATTGTCCCCAGCAAGTTGATCATTCGTAAGTTTCTGAAAACCAAAACACATTACATTGATAAAATTATCATTGATGACTACTAACTTTGTTTTTCCAATGTCATCGTAGACTTGATTGTGGCGTCATAGTTTGTTACCTTATGAGAGACTATATGTCTGTAACAAAGACATCTTTCCAAACTTAACAAAGGAGGAGTGCCACCAAATCAGAGCAGATATCATAGAGGCTTTGTTGACTAACCAACAGACAGACACCCAGCAAATCGTTGATGAGGCAATAGAAGCGGTGCTTGAAGACAAGGAGTTTTGGGACACAATACACAATGATAACAATGCTTGAATAATTTTGGACAAACTTTATAATCATTTTGGTTCTTACTTTGCTTCAATGAATATTACAATGCTTGGTTGTTACAATGTCAAATTTGCTTCAATGAAACATTCAGTCTTTTTTAACCATATTGTCACCAGATATGACTTTTGATATATGTCTTGTTTTATGCAAATTTCATTCAAAAAATTAATTATGATCTGATTATTTGTGTCAAATTTAAAGCTTAATAACAGGTTTGGAGTCACTATACTGATAAATTTATTTTTTTATAGTGTTTTGTTTTCACTCATAAATTTATCCCTGTTTCAACAAATTTATCACTGTAAACACTGATAAATTTTTCACTGTTTAAACAAAAAAACCAGCACCTCTCTCTCATTTTTTTTTTCCAAACTCAATTAAACAGTGAAAAATTTACCTAAATTTTTTCCAAACTCAATTAAACAAAGCACTATAAATAAATAAAAAATTTACCTAAATTGAAAATTAAAACACAAACCCTATTACATTGTTTTGATTATTTTGGTTCTTCATTTGTTTCAATGAAACATTTAGTCATTTTTATCCACATTGTTAACATATCTGGCTTTTGATATCAGTCTGGTTTTATGCAAATTTCATTCAAAAAATTGATTATAATCTGATTATTTGTGTCAAATTTAAAGGTTAATAACAGGTTTGGAATCACTATACTGATAAAATTATTTTCTTATAGTGTTTTGTTTACACTGATAAATTTATCACTGTTTCAACAAATTTGTCACTGTGAACACTGACAAATTTATTACTGTTCAAACAAAAAAACCAGTGCCTCTCTCTCTCATTCTTTTTTCCAAACTCAATTAAATAAAGCACTATACAAAAATTAAAAATTTACCTAAATAGAAAATTAAAACACATACACTATTACATTGTTTTGATCATTGTAAAATTTTTAAAAATAAGATATAAGTACAGTTAGAATAAATTTGTAAAAAAGAAAACCATTATTTGTAGTTACTTACATATGAGCTCAAGAATGTTGAAAAGTCATATTATAATTTTACAATGCAAAATACTAATATTTAAGAATTAAGTATTAATTTAAGTCAGTAACTAGTGTGGTTTTTAAATTTTCAATAGGTCTTGCAAATATTTCATTTCAATATCAAGTCTAATATGTTGATGTTATAATATCAAAACAATTCACAACTTTACCCTATGCTTTTTCCTTTTGCACTAGTCAAAAATATTCTATGTAAGTTTATTTGCTTATTTATTTGTTGTTATTTAAATGTATTATTGTTATATTATCTTATTAATCCTTAATTCTATGTAGTTGTAGGGGACATGCATGATACAATGAAGATATGTCAATTTAATGAATTCTATTACTTTAGCTTACTATGTTATTTTTATAAAAAAAAAAAAAAGTAAGGTGATTTTTAACCATCATTTTTAAGTTTTGGTCAGTGACTATATGGGTATGGGACTATATGGGTATGAGATTGAGTTTCTAGGATGTTGATTGGATCCTTGGGTTTCTGTGAGTCTTGTTGGAAAAGCACTTGATCAATGCTGTTTCTAACCGGAACTCTAGTAACGCCTCAGGACTATCATTATCTGGAAATGAAATTCATAAGTGTTTATGTGATTATGTTAAGCAGCTCATTGGACATCTTTTATTTACTGTTTTGGCTTCCGCCAGCCCCTTACTTTGTATTACGGTCATTACTGTTAAACAGGCCTTTGGTAATCATGGATTACCGGCCGGTTACGAAAAAATGGTCGATTAATGAATACTCCAGCAGATCAAGTTGAAGGAAAAAATGGAAAAAATGATCGGTTACGAAAAAATGGAAAAAATGGTCGAAAAAATAGAAAAGCATAGGAATGCAAATTCCTATGGGACTTATTTCTAAGAGGTTGATGGTTAGGTGGTATGTTGCCCCACTATTTTTGGGTAGAATGTGTGGTAGATAATAACCCTGTAGACTATAAAAATGTGTAGTATGAAAATCTGAAGGTAGCTCATGCAAAGCTTGATGATCTCAAAGCTGATGTGCAGGACCTTTTAGAAGAGTTTAATCTAGGAGATGAGGCCTGTAAGAGGCCTATTTATGTAAATGCTTTATTATCTAATGAATGTAAGATCAAGCTAGTTAGCTTGATCTCAGATTATTCAGATTGTTTTACTTGGAGTTATGATGAGATGCCTGGACTAGATAGGTCTTTGGTTGAACATAAACTTCCAATAAAGTCAAACTATGTGCCACATAAACAACCTCCTAGGAGAATGACAAATGGAGTCACTCTTATAGTGAAAGATGAAATTGAGAGACTTTTAAAAGCTGGTTTTATTAGAATAACTAGGTATGTGGAATGGCTATCAAATATAATTCCAGTTCTTAAGAAGAATGGCACAATTAGAGTGTGTATTGATTTTAGGAACTTGCATATGGCCACACCTAAAGATGAGTATCCCATGCCAGTTGCAGACTTGTTAATAGATTCAGCTGCAAAGCATAAAATCTTGTCATTCATAGATGGCCATGTTAGGTATAATCAGATCTTTCTTAGCCCAAATGATGTTCATAAGACTGCATTTAGGTGCCCGGGGCTTTAGGAACCTTTGAGAGGGTAGTGATGCCTTTTGGGCTTAAGAATACAGGGGCCACCTATCAGAAGGCTATGAATTTTATTTTCATGATTTGATTGGGAAGTTTTTGGAGGTGTATATTGATGATATGGCAATCAAATCAGATGAATTTGATGAGAATTTGGACAATTTTCAACAGGTGTTCCGAAGGATGGGAAAATACCAGTTAAAGATGAACCCCTTGAAGTGTGCTTTTGGAGTGTATACTGGTAATTTCTTGGGTTTTTTGGTCCACCAAAAGGGGATAGAGTTGGACACAAATAAGGCTAAAGCTATTAAAGTAGCCTAAACCCCATCTAAGAAGGAGTTACAGAGTTTCCTTAGGAAAAAAAATTTTTTAAGGAGATTTATTGCCAATTTAGTAGGGATAACTTTGGTTTTTTCTCTTTTGTTAAAGTCTGATAAAGACTTTAGATGAGAAAGTGAGCATCAAAGGGCATTTGATGTACTCAAGGGTTACTTATCTAAACCACCAATCTTGATGCCACCCATTAAAGGGAAACCTTTAAAGCTGTATATTTCAACAAGAGTACAATCAATTGGGTGTTTATTGGCTCAAGATAATGAGGAGGGTTGTGAGCAAGCTGTTTATTACCTAAGTAGGAAATTGAATGAGGCAGAGACTAGGTACAACTCTATTGAAAAGTTGTGTTTGGCCTTATATTTTGCAACCATCAAACCGAGACATTACATGCTACCTATAGAGGTTAATGTGATTGTTCGGACTGATGTGATAAAATACATGTTGTCTAGGCCAGTTTTGAGTGGGAGACAAGGAAAATGGTTATTGGTCTTAATTGAATATTGCTTTAGGTATGTACCTCAAAAAGCTATGAGAGGCTAGGCACTAGCAGATTTTTTAGCTGAGCATCTATGTAGCCCTGTCGAGGTAGATGAGTATGAGGCGTTCTCAGTTGAAAAAGAGCCATGAAAGTTGATGTTTGATGGTTCAAAGACTAAAGAGGGTGTTGGTTTTACCCTAAGGACAGGTATTTCAATCCTCACACCAGTTGAATGAAACTCAGGTACTGTCAACTAATTAGGCAGAGTATGAAGCCTTGTTTATTGGCTTGGAGTTGGCAAGGAGCCTAAGAATTCCACATTTAAAAGTGTTTGGGGATTCTCAGTTGGTGATAAGGTAGGTGATAGGTCAACATAAGTGCAATAGTGCAGTGCTTAGAGAGTATTTAGAACAATTGTTGCAGCTGGTCAAAGGATTTGAGATAGTAGAGTTTGAATGGATGTTTAGACTTGAGAATAAGAAGGCCAACAAGATGGCCCAAGCAGCCTCTGGTTTGAGGATTCCAAACGGTTTCTAAGAAAGGATAGATAGGATTCAGAAGAGGACAATGCCTTGTGTTAGGTGTCGCCAGTGGCAAAGCTTATCAGTATTGACTTTGGAGGTGTTAGAGGATGATTGGAGGTCACCTCTGATCAAGTATTTGAGTGACCTAGAAACAAAAGTGGATAGAAGCATAAAGTATCAAGCTATAAATTATGTAATTATGGGGGATGACTTGTTCAGAAGAACCCACGATGGGTTGACTTTGCTATGCAATGGAGGATTAGAACAGATGCAGCTTATGGCAGAAGTCCATGAGGACATTTGTGGTGCTCATCAGGCAAGAGAAAAGATGAGATGACTGATCAAAAGGCATGGGTATTTTTGGCCCTATATAAGGAAAGATTGCATTGATTATGCAAAGGGGTGCCAGCAGTGCCAAAGGCATTGGTAATGTGCAAAAAGTGCCAGCTAGAGATTTGCATTCAATTGTCAAACATTGGCCATTTAGGGGTTAGGCAATGGATTTAGGTGGCCAGATATTTCCACCATCCTTAAAACAACATGCATTCATATTAGTGACCACATATTATTTTACTAAGTGGGTAGAAGCAGTCCCGTTAAAAGTGGTGAATCAATCTCATGTGATTGATTTTATCAAGAAGCACCTAGTGCATAGGTTTGGCGTGCCATAAACAATTACTGTCGATCAAGGGACAGTGTTTAATGGTGATGAAGTGATGGAGTTTGCCAAAGAGTATTCCATTGAAATGTTAAACTCATCTCTATATTTATGCCTAAGAAAATAAGCAAGCAGAGTCATCAAACAAAACAATCAAAGTGATACTAAGTAAAGTGATAGAAGACAATCCAAGAGATTGACATGAGTTATTATTTGAGGTTTTGTGGGCCTACAGGAATTCAAAGGGGGATAGCATTCAAGCATCTCCTTATAAGTTAGTTTATGGTCATGTTGTAGTTCTACCCTTGGAGGTGATAGTGAGGTCTAGTAAGGTGGCTAAGCTTTATGATATTCATGTCGATGAGTATGTAGAGGCCATATTTATGGAGTTACAAGATGTAGAGTGCAAAAGGATTGTTGCCTTTGATTGTATGATGACTTAGAAAAAGAAGGTTGAGAGAGTTTATAACAAGAAGGTTAAGTTAAAACTTTTTAGGGAAGTTGATTTAGTATGGAAAACTATCTT